AATCACATTTCAGCCGTCATCTGTCGCTAGGCAGGGTCAAAGTCAAAGATGTCTGCCTGGAGGCCTTCACAGTCCGTTCTGCAGGCCCCCCCCCACAGAAAATACATGTCGAGTACACTGTTGCTTTAACCAATCAGATTTTAGGTTGGTGATGCCAGGGCATTCTGGAGGGCCAAAGGCAACGTCACCGTATTCACGCCCGCTGATTGGATAGTGAGATATCCAATCAGCGGAAAGCTAGCAAACAAACCGAAATATAGTTGTGTTGCTGTAATAGCTATTTTATTATTTGGTGTCAGATTTACTGTCAAGGCCATTTTCAAAACAGACTTTTCAAGAAAAGTTAGTGAGTAAAATGTTGCCTTTTTCCTAAATAACGTCGCAAGTTTATGAGGATATTATTTATGTTTTGTTTGTTTTTTTGGGGGGGGGCGCGGAGACTTGTGCACCCCTGATCTTTTTAGGCATGAGAAAATGCCGATCCAGACTCCAGATCCATTTTTTAAATAGTCTGATCGCACACGACCATTAGCATTAGCATTAGCATCTGTAACCCACAGGTCTGTGTCCTAACCATTAAGTTGTTATCAGAGTAAATCCCTGTTCAACAGGAGTCTGACAACTAAGTAAGTAGACTTTCAACTTTGATACAAAAAGCTGGATCGGGTCATCCCTACTGTATTTTTACATAATAAGATGATTTCTATAACCATAAAATAGTTATTTAGGGGTGAGTTGATTCAGACGGAGCACTACTGAAGGCCTAGGTGTGAAAAGCACGGTCCACCACTGCTTATATCCGAGTATCACGTGGCTTCTTGGTGACGTTTGAGACGTTACAGACATTTACAAACAGTAAACTGAATTCTACAGGATTTGTAGTTATTAAACTATCTCTGGCCCTTTAAAAGTTTCCATCTTTTGAAAGGATATTTTACTCATCTCCTTGTGTGAATTATGACATTAAAAATATGTCATCAGAGAAAACAGAAGCAGCTTACCTGGATGTTCTCCACATCTAATGAACCGCCCTCATTCTGGGATGAGGTGAGCTGGAAAGTATGACAAAACAGCAAACTGGAACTGGTTATGGAAACAGAAAAATCCAGCTCTGTCTCAGTTTTAGAACCAGAAAAGTCCAGTTTTGACAGATCTTTAGAGCCAGAAAATTCAGTTTTGACTGAGTTTTAGAGCCAGAAAAGTCCAGTTTCGACTGAGTTTTAGAACCAGAAAAGTCCAGTTTTGACTGAGATTTAGAGCCAGAAAAGTCAAGTTTTGACTGAGTTTTAGAGCCAGAAAAGTCCAGTTTTGACTGAGTTTTAGAACCAGAAAAGTCCAGTTTTGACTGAGATTTAGAACCAGAAAAGTCAAGTTTTGACTGAGTTTTAGAGCCAGAAAAGTCCAGTTTTGACTGAGTTTTAGAGCCAGAAAAGTCCAGTTTTGACTGAGATTTAGAGCCAGAAAAATCCAGCTTTAACTGGCTGGAAAAGTTAGTGG